TCCCCCAATAGCCACAGTAATCCTGAGAAAGGAGAACAAAGTTGGAGGAATCACACTACCTGATATCAAACTATACTAGCATGGTGCTAGCATAAAAACAGCCATATAGATTAATAGAACAGAATAGAGAGCCCAGAAATCAACCCACGCCTTTATGGTCAATTAATGTGTGACAAAGGAGGCAAGAGCATACAATGGGCTAATGATAGTCTATTCAATAAATGGTGTTAGGAAAATTGGACAGATACATGCAAAAAAATGAAACTAGACCACATTTTTACACCCTACACAAGAATAAACTAAAAATGGGTTAAAAAATTAAATGTTAGGTTCGAAACCACAAAAATCCTAAAAGAAAGCAAAGGCAGTAAAATCTCAGACATTTTTCGTACCGATATTTTTTCCGATACGTAGCCTCGGCAAAGGGAAACAAAAAAAAAAAAACCACAAACAAATGGGACTACATCAAACTAAAAACTTTCTGCACTGCAAAGAAACCATCAACAAAATGAAAAGACAACCCATTGAATAGGAGAACGTATTTTCCAATGATAGATCTGATAAGGGGTTAATATCCATAATTTAGAAAGAACTTACAAAACTCACCACCGAAAAAACAATCCAAATAAAAAGGCAAAGGACCTGAATAGACTCTTCTCCAAAGAGGACATACAGATGGCCAGTAGACACGTGAAAAGATGCTCAACATCACTAATCGCCAGAGATACAAAAATGAAAACCACAATGAGCCTGGCCAGGCATCACTCAGCAGTAGAGCGTCGGCCTAGGATCCAGGAGATCGGGGTTCGATTCCCGGTCAGGGCACATGCCCGGGTTGCAGGCTCCATCCCCGGAAAGGGGTGCAGGAGGCAGCCCATCAATGACTCTCTCATCATTGGTGTTTCTATCTCTCTCTCTCCCTCTCCCTTCCTCTTTCTGAAATCAATAAAGGTTGTGTTGTTTTTTTTAAAGTTTGGGACCTTAGGGCTTGTGAGATATTTAATTTTCTTTCACATTCATTGGCTATTTATTTTAAATATAAAAAGAAAGACCAAGAGAAAAGCTTTACGTAATTATAGGAAGCTTTTCATGGTAAATATGTTTAGAGTGAAGAGAAAATAAGAACACAGTAAAATGTGACTTTAGTTACAGGCTTTTGTTAGCTCCATTTACTGGATTCTTTTTATATTTAGTCATATGAGCTTTTAAAGGTTACTAAAGATACAGATAAGAGGCTGACCACACATCCTGTTTCCCCAGATGGTCGTGTCGATACACTTCTTCACGTCCTGTCTGGTTGTGTCCATATGAGTCTCCAAAGTGCTTTGGTTTGAAAGAAAAATTTATGATCATCCAAAAGATAAATCATATTAAAATTATGTGAAAATAATATTGTGATCAATAAATAGCTGAAATACCTCAAAATAAAGACCAATTTTTTAAAAAGTTCTCAGAAAATTAGTTTTCAGTATTTTAAATGTTGAGCATGCTAATGTATTAGAAAAACATGTTTTAAAAATTCAGTATCAAATATGGAGTAATGATAATAGGGTCATTTAACTGGCTGACAAGTCCTGGATTTCAAGCCATTACTAACAGTCATATTTAAACTTACAAAATTTTTGAAGAAAAATAATTTTAAAAGATTCTCATTAAAAATGAGTCACTTAAAAAGTCAATTTCATAAGATATTTTGAAAGATTTTTAGAATCTTTTTTTAGCAATTAGAGTTTCAGTTGTGTTAGTTCCAGAAAAAGAAATAGCATTCCATTATCTTAAACAAGGTAACCTTTTGTGTGTGTGCAATGGACCAGTTTGGGCCACTTTTGAAGCCAATGAACTCCTTCTAAGAAAAATATTTTTTAAATGTGTAAAATAAAATACAAAGTATTACAATAGATATCGATATTATTGGAATACAACTCTCAAAATATCAAAATATATTTTAAAACAAATGTAATAAAGTAATATATGAGCTTCTTCATTAACTCATTAAATAACATTATTGAATAGCAGGCCTAATAACTATCATAATTACCAAGTAGTGATTAATGTAAATGATATTTTGAGCTTATCTGCAATAACAATAATATGATATGAAAAGTCACAGGTACTGCTCATGCCACTTTGCTTTGTTGACTAAATTCACAACTGGAGAAAATTTTTATTACAAAGTTAGTGAAATGAAATTGTGATTTCCCCCTCAACCAAGTCCATGACCTCTTTGAACTCTATAGTTATAGGTAGATGCAACATTTAGAAAGCCTAAACAAACTAGTTTATCACAGGTGCATAATTAATTCAACCAACTCCTAAACGCTGTGATCAGGATACAGAACAATACTTACAAAAACAACAAGCCCACTGAATGCTTTTTAAAGAAAAAAAATAAAAGAAGACTTTCACTGAAAATTCAGTTCATTGTATGAGTGAGATCTGCCAAATATAATGCAGGATATAATGAACATATAGAGTGGAAACAAAGTAGGTGCTTTCTAGGATGTCTTTAAACACCAAAAAATGAAAATCTCCTAAAATATAGACATGCATTTTATATTAAGCAGCATCTCCCTTATCCTTATCATTAACATTTATAATCAAAGTTACATTTTACACAGATTTTTCTTCAGGTTTGCATTTTCTTATTTTAACAGTATAATATATTAATTGGTGGTTTAAAGTTTTTCATTCTCAGAACTTTGAATGAAGTCCAGTAAGCAAGGACACCAAATGTACATATACATTTATTTTAAGGCCGTCAGCCTCAGGGCTTCATTTCCTGGAACAGACTATAAATGATTGGACCGAAACACAGATATTGCCTAAGAGATAAGATAGAATCACAGGTCCTTGAAGCTAAAAGTGACCATAGGAGCCACTTTGTCTAACCCCTCATTTTACAAAAGAGGAACCAGAGACTGAGAGTTAAGGGACTAGCTCAGGACCCAAGATGACCATGGAAGAGTTTAGTCTGTGAGTTAAGGCAACACTCTAAAGGACAAATCCTGCTCCTGGGTCCATTTCTATCAAAGAAAAGCTTGGAAACTATTGAAACAAAAGGTTACAATCAAGTAAAAAGACATTATTGCCCCAGCTTGTTTGCTCAGTGGTTAGAGCATTGGCCTGCACACCTAAAGTCATGGGTTGGATTCCCGCTCAAGGGCATGTATCTCGGTTGTGGGTTCGCTCCCCGCCCTGGATCAGGCATGTGCGGGTGGCAACCAGTCGATGTGTCTCTTTCACATCGATGTTTCTCTTTGTCTTCTCCACCCTCCCTCCCTCCTGCTCTCTTGGAAAAGCAATGGGGAAAAAATATTCTCAGGTGAAGATTAACAAAAACGAACAACAACAAAAAAACTATCTTATTTATAGATTTTTGCTTCCAAATATGAGAATTAGAAGACTTAAATGATGATCACATGTCTAGGGCAGAGGCTTTAAAAATATTAAAGATCGATAATTTGTTTTGAATAGTTTTCATGGTCTAAATTATTAGCAATGTTATTCTGATTATTGAAAACCCAGTTAAGTCTTCCCTAATTTTATTTTTTTAGATAGCCTTTTTTTTTTCTTTCTGATTATAAAAGGAATATACATCTATTATAAGTTTGAAAATACAAGGACAAATGAAGAAAATATCAAGCAGACATATCTGGAAAAAAGTCAAAGATAATATTGGTAATATTTCATATTTCTTTTAAACATATACATATATATGGATATATAACTATAATATAAACATATATTAAGATTATAATGTATATAAACTTTTGTATTCTGCCATTTCTCTTAGCATTAGACCATGAGCATCTTCCCACTGAATTAAAATTATTTCCAAACCATCATTAATGAGAAAATCTGTGTTTGGTAGTTATTAAAGTAATAAAGTTTAAAGACATTATAATCAATACAAATATCTCATATAATTTTCAATCACTGGATTATGAAAGCTATCATTGGACCAGGTAACTGTAATGCATTACATTGCTCTAAATCAAAAAATTAAAAAAATATATGTTTACAAGATAGTCTTTAAGAAAATTTAAATTGTAAATGGCTAAAATCATTGGGCAAAACTGCATAATATTCCAGGAAATTATAGAAATGAAAATCCAGAGATACCATCTGCTACTATTAAATGCAGGAACATTCGAAAAGATTTAGAACATTACATCCTGACGGGAATGTAATGAGGGCACTCGGGGCTTATGCAAGGAAGCAGCATTTGGTGCATTTAGGCCTGGCTCACCAAAGAAGTGTAATAAATGTTTGCTGAATGTATAAATGGGAATCAGCTTATCAACATGTATCCAGATACCTGACTATGATCATACCCTTTGACTCATCAACTTACTTTAGGAAGTATATATAATATATATAATATACACTCTGGTACTCACTACAGTTTTCTTAAAGGAGAAAAATCAGCCACAACTAAATGCCCAAGACTGGTATAATGATTAAGCAAATGATATTGGTAATAAGGAGCCATGAAGACAATTTTCAAATTAATTTAACAACTCTACTAAAATCATAAGTGTCTTGCCTATAATTCTTAGTTTAAAACTATTAAAATATGTAGAAAATATTGGTGTACTTAACCTCTTGATACAAGACTTTATTTCATTCTTTTAATGAAATAATAGTTCACTTTAAAATTTTAAAAATCACTGTATTTTTTAAAAATGTCAAGAAGCCTACATGAATAAACAATTTTTTCTCCCAAAATGTATTTTTATGGTCAAACTCAAAAATATTACCTATTTGTCCTTAAATATCACAGAAGGTAGGGCCAAGGCTCTCTTTGATAGTCATACCAATGGTGAGAGAAACCGGTCTTGACCTTCTGCTGTCCTAGTGCCATGACTTAGATACCTCTATTTCCTTTACTTGACCTTGGCCTTAGAAGCAGAGGATCTGTCAAAACTAATGCACATACACACACCTTGCCCCATACATATGACTTAAGAGTGGTAACCTTTCAAAAACAACCCAAATACCTTTAAAAGCTCTGAAGGTTCATTTCCTTCTTCGACCACAATTAGTTGAGATCTCCCGTTCCTTTCATTGTCCCGAATGCCAATGGCAACCTGGCTGGCCTTCAGACGCTCGTATTTGTTGCATGAGGAACCACACCACTGGTAAATTTCCTAAAAGAAAGAGGCAGATCTTTTGACCCCAGTAATACGTGGAGGACATTCAGGCCTACTGTAATACACATTGTGATTAACTAAAAACAAACAAACAAACAAAAACACACCAAAAGGTATAAAAAATAAAATAAAATAAGGTCACAGAAGAAGACCAGACTTCAGGTGGTGAGCATATACAGGTGTTTTATTACAAAGTTGTGCATCTGAAATTTATATAATGTTATTAACCAATGTTATTCCAATAAATTTAACAATAAAAATATTTTTAAATGATCTATTGTTGAGTTATATATGATTTCATATATTTAATTTATACCTCATTTTGTATTCTGTTGCTCTCAGCATTATTAAGCATTTTTTTAAACATGGAAAATATAAATACATATCTTACCATTTTTTCCATATATAATCCACTAAGTACAATTTATAAAAGTAAACTTATGGAGCTTATGTAATTTAAAATAGGAAGTCTACCATATTTCAGAATGGTGGTCAAGAATTTTATAGTAATATGCTCTTGATGATTATAAAAACTGATATAACACTTTTGTAAGGCAATCAAACAATTCTCATCAAGAGCCATAAAAGTGTTAAAACCTTTGACCCAGTAATATCATTATCCAAAATTTGTTAATAAACTATCCATAAAGAGGAAAAAAACCCACATATACAAGGGTTTTCATTGCTATGTGATTGTATTAGTGAGGCATTAGAAAGACATTAAATGTTCAATAATAGAATAATAGTTATATAAATTATAACAGAAAAAATAGATACTTAAATATCAAAGTTATACTTCAACAGCAATTTAGAAAAACAGAAACAGAACTGTTTGATATATTATAAATTAAATAGATTATATTAGCTGACATTTATACTAAAATATAGGGTATCCCAAAAAAATGTATACACACTTTACAGCTGATAGCTCAATTGATGTTTCTTTCCTTTCAGATTTAACTCACTGGAATTAATAATTGTTCAAAGTGTGCATACATTTTGGAGGGAAACCCTGTATATATTTTAGACTTGGATACAGTGCTCAGAAGCTATACAGATACAAATGTAAAATTAAAATAAAGTATCATTTTCTCCACTGAATGTGATTTAACAAAAGTAAGAAAGAGAAGTTTAATAGTACCTGGGCCTGGTGGAGTGTGGGAATGGCATTATCACATACTATGTGGGTGGTATAAACTGACACAGGCTTTTTTGGGGGGCAGTTTGGCATCATATCAAAAAATGTGCTTTTAGAATCAGAAAATTTCACTCCTAAGAATCTATAATAGACAAACATGGGATACAAAACCAAGGAAACAAATAAAACAAAAACTTTCCATCAATAGAAAGATGGCTATGTAAATGCCATTACATGGATACAGACTATACTTAAGTGGTTAAACATTGAAGAAAATGTTTCAATACTGATGTAGAAAATTATCAAAGGTATATTATCAAGACTAAAATAAAGCCATATAGTAATACAGTTCTAATCAAGTAGAAACAAAAACATAATCTTTATTTCTGCATTTTCAGAAAAAGATTTTTAAACATAGTTTTAACACACAGGGAAGGTCATGTATAAGCAGAGAGAAAGCCTTCAGTTTCACAGTATCTAAGAAGGTGTTTTTCCCTTTTAAATAAAAAAATGTCACTCACATTTATTAGGTGTCTAATATGAGCTAGATGTTGGGGATAGAGAAATGAATGTGGGGAAATGAGCAGGATAAATTGACATGTAGATAATTACTGCTGATAATTTATTTGCACTACATTTGGTTTTCAAAAGTTTCCACATATACTCCATCTAGTCAGTCCTGGAAAGGGGGTTAGCATAGTGGTTAAGTGTGAAGGAGACAGACCTTGGCTACTTCCTGGCTACGTGACTTTATGTTTGCAATTTTTAAAAGAGCAAATAAATTAATAATAGCAAAATAACTTAGCACCCAAGATTCAAAGATGTTGGCTCCTTTCTCTAATTTTAATACATTTCTAGTCCAGAGTCATTTCTTTATTCAAAAATAGTTTACTACTTTCCTAAAATGAGGCAGGCACTCTCCCAGGTCCTGGGGGCACAACTTGGACCCACAGTGGCCCACTACAGTCTCTCTGACACCCTCATCCCCCCGGTCCTGATGGATCTATTCCATATTCCTCCTCAAGAATAAAGTATATGTTTCAGCAATATAAGCCTTTATAAGACGTAAAATAAAGGACTATGCTTTGCAATCACTTTTACTCTTGAATTTGATTTAGTTACTCAGCACGGTCAAGGGACATTTCCTTTCTGTTTTTAAGAGAATTGTGCATTTCTAATGTTTCCTCTCTACCCTTTTTTCTATATCTGGGCATCTGGGCTCACATTTAGAGGCAATCTGAACACCATGCCCAGGTTAGCAGTTACAAAGAGCGAACACAAATGATTTCCAATCATCAGTCAGCCTTAATCGACTGTTAAAATCAGGTAGTGAAATAAAAGGTGATTTTTTTTAAAAAATTATTTTTTTATTTTTCAGTTACAGTTGACTTTCAATATTATATTAGTTTCAGGTGTGTAGCATAGTGGTTAGACATTTATATAACTTTCAACATGATTCCTCCCCATAAGTCCAGTACCCCTTGTGGCCTCACACATAGTTATTACAATATTATTGACTATATTCCCTATGCTGTAATTTACATCCCCATGACTACTGTGAAACTAACAATTTGTACTTTCAATGCCTTCACTTTTTCATCCAGCACCCCAACCTCTCTCCCATCTGTCAACCATCATTTTGTTCTATTTCTAAGTGTTTGTGTTGTATTTGTTCATTCATTTTGATTTTTAGATTCCACATATAGGTGAAACCATAATACAGAGCTTGTCTCTCTCTTTCTGACTTCACTTACTTTAATACCCTCTAAGTCTATCCATGTTGTCACAAGAAGATATAGTTTGAAAAATGTATTTCTAGGAGCAACATCAAAGAATTTACTGCCTATTTTCTTCTAAGAGTTTTACAATTTTGGGTCTTACATTTAAATCTTTAATCCATTTTGAGTTTTTTCTTGTATATGGTGTAAGAAGTGGCCTACTTTCATTTTTTTTCCTTGTATCTGTCCAGTTTTCCCAACACCAGATATTGAATAGATTGTCTTTACCCCATTGTATATTCTTGCCTCCTTTGTCGTTGTTTAATTGACTGTATAGGTGTGGGTTTATTTCTGGGTTCTCTGTTCTGTTCCATTGGTCTGTACGTCAATTTTTACGCCAGTACCATGTTGTATTAATTACTATGGCTTTGTAGTATTGTTTGATATCAGGTAGCATGATACTTCCAACTTGGTTCTTGCTCAAGATTGCTGTGGCTATTCGAGTTGTTGTTGTTTTTTATGGTGCCATATAAGTTTCAGGATTATTTGTTCTAGTTCTATGAAAAATGCCATTGGTATATTGGTATTCTGATAGCGATTGCACTGAATCTGTAGCTTGCTTTAGGTAGTATCAATATTTTAATAATGTTAATTCTTCCTATCCATGAGCATGGTATATGCTTCCATTTATTTGTATCTTCTCTTATTTCTTTCTTCAATGTTATAATTTTTCAAGTACAAGTCCTTTACCTCCTTGGTTAAATTTATTTGTAGATTTTTTTTATGCAACTTTAAATGAGAATTGTTTTCTTAATCTCTCCTGTTTTTTGTTTTTTTTTAATCCTCACCTGAGGATATGTTTTCACTGATTTCAGAGAGAGAGAAAAGGAGAGAGAGAGCGAGAGAGAGAGAGAGAGAGAGAGAGATTGATGTGAGAGAAACATTGATCAGCAGCCTCCTGTGTGTGTCCCAACCAAGCATCAAACCTGCAACGCAGGTCTGTGCCCTGACTGGGAATCGAACGTGAAATCTTTTGGTGTATGGGACAACACTCCAACCAACTGAGCCACCCAGCCAGGCAACCTCTGTTAGTTTTTTATTGGTGTATAAAAATGGGTCTGATTTCTGGATATTTATTTTGTATCCTGTTACTTTATGGAATTTATCAGTTCTGATAGTTTTTGATGGAATCTTCAGAATTCTCTCTATATAGTGTCATGTCATCTGCAAATAATGAGGTTTTAATTCTTCTTTTCCTATTTGGATCTTTTTATTTCTTTTTTTTAGTCTGATTGCTGTGACTAGGAAGGAAGGTGATTTTTGAAAATACAGATACCTGGTAATCTCAGGTGTGTTTACTGAACCCTCCCCAACTGATTCTAGCTGAGAACCCCTGCTGGCCACCCTGAGCACCATGCACCTGGCACAAATTACAGGGAACCTGTAACATCTAATTATCTAATGCAGACAAGCCAGCTACTCTCCTGAGTACATCTAGGCTCTTAGCTCTGATTCCTTTCCTACCTCATTCCATATGATTTTGCAAATGATTCTCTTCTCAGTAGACCTGAGAAAGCAAACTTCTAATATGTATATTATAGTGAAATTCAGTATATAGATCAGAAGTTAGCTTTCTAGATTTCTCAGACTTATTAGTAACGTTTATTACTGACTTGCTCTATATTTACACAATCATCTAACAGATGTTTGTTCTCCCTACCTTAGCTGTATAATGACCTCTCCTCTACTTCAGAGATTATATAAAATCATACAAAGTTTTATTAGCATCTATAAAGCATTATCGAAGCTTGTTAAACGTGTTTAAAAATGAATTGTAGGTAATGATAATTTTACAAACATAGTTATCATTTAATATAGAATTTTATAATATTCTATGGATGCCCAAATATTTTCTATGATATTGCTTTGGGTTGGGAGTTTTTATGTGCAGTTTTAATTCACAGATAAATTTAGTTGTAATAGATATTCTTCACCATCACTTAGAGACTACAGTTTCTACCTTTAAAATAGCAAAAACGTATCTAAGAAATACCCATAAAAATAATAAAACTTTTAAGAATGAAGTTTTCCTTTTAACTCAAAGATGACTAAGTCACTAAAGAAAGTGTTACAGAAAATTT